TTACGGGACTATAGTGTAACTTGAAGGATATATTGTGTTAATACAAGTATAACTGAGGGACCATAAATGTAATTATAATTGATTTGTGAACTGAAAATGCGTGTAAGAAATATAAGAAAAGCGGTACATATTTTATTAATTAAAAATAACACGTGTTGTTTAAATATGTGATTGTACAACTTCATTTAATAAAAAGGTATACGAGTTAGTTTTACAAGATGGCTTAAAATAATTATAATCGTACATACGTGTCCAAATTTATGCTATGTGTTGATAAGATTGAATTAAATAATGTAGATAAGATTATGGATAAGATCAAATTAAATAATATGGATAAGATTGAATTAAATAATGTGGATAAGATCGAATTTAATAAAGTGGATAAGATTGTAGAAAAGATCGAATTAAATTATGTGGATAAGAACAAGTTAAATAATATAGATAAAAACGAATTAATTAAGCTTAATGGCTAAGTAAACTTAGTGACTAAGAAATCATAATACCATAAATAGGGGATTAAGTCTCTTCATTTTGTCATACCTTTCTCTCTCAAATCTCTCTGGCGATCAGTAATTATGAATTGGTTTCTTGTTCTTGAGTGTCATTAGTAAAACATAGAAACATTAGAGCATTGGAGAATCTTTTATTAGAAAAACTCTAAGCATCGAGGTTACACTCGCCATCTTTCGGCTTCCATTAGTCAAGTTAATACACGACTAATCAAGTATCGATACGAAACTACATTAAACTGAAAGAGATGTAAATCACTTGTGTAAATGAATGTAATTCCTGCTTATGCTTATGTTTTTGTATTGATGATGACATCCCAAAGTTTTAATATAAACTAAATAGATTTCTTTAGAAATGCTTTGATAATATATTTATCATGTTTTCTGGGAACAAATTTCGCAATATTATTTTTTAAATTGAATACTCTGATTTTCAAATAAGCATAAATAAATTTTTAAAACGACTATGAATTTGGGGATGTCACAGTTGGTATAAGATCATTAGTTTAAGCGATCTAGGAATAAGGATTTATTTCTAAACTTAAACTTGAAATGCTAAGCAATGATCGTGACGAGTGTGTCTAATATATTTTAGGAAGTACACCTGAATAGACACAAGCACTTGCTTAATTAGGGAAGATGCCTAAAATGATTTTATGTGCTAAATGATTTGTGATGCTTTATGCTATCGTTTGATCGGATCTATGGTCTATTGCTGACTGGATCTAAAAAATTTATGTGTTCACATTTCTAAACATTTAATTACGATATTAGAATTGACGTATAACTTTTCAGAGTAATAAGGAGGAATAGCGTCTAAATCTTCCTCTATCTATATTATTGTCTCGATACACCAAACGCCTGCTTTGGTGTATAGAACGTCATGATAAGGACTCGTTGCAGACTGAGCAAATGGAGGAAATAAGAAGTCTTAAGATAGTGAATGACACATATCGAAAAATATCATGAGAGAAGTATGTTGCCTTTAGAATACGTATAAATAGGTTATACCTCTGGTACGGGAGAAGTACACTTTTGATTGGCGAAAAGAAAGAATTTTTTGGTATTAAAGCTACATTCAATTCCAACTAATTGTTCATAAACCAAAATTGAAAATCGGATTTATAAGGAAAACAGTGTGAAATCTTGAATCATAAAACCGTTGATGTGTGTACACCCCCGACTTTGCATTTCGTTAAGTACCTAAGAATCATTTAATCCACAGCTATAAGCACAAAGCTTATCGAGTTCCCAAAAAATATCACATACAACACAACATAAATAAATAGATATGAGTTATCAGCAACCCTGGGGACTATCAACAATCCCAATGGGCTTGCAACACTTCCTGTAGGCTAACAACACGTCATGTGGGCTAACAACACACCTTGTGGGTTATCAGCAACCTTGGGAAGTATCAGCGGTCCCAAAGGGCTAACAACATGCCCTGTGGGTTATTAGGAACTCTGGGGACTATCCACAGTCCCAATGGGATAACATATGGATGTCAACGGGGGCAAAAAGGACGGGGATTGGATGCCCCGCCCCCGCCCCAAAAATTTTCATGTTCCCCCGCTCCCGCCCCCGCCCCCGAAATCTCCATCCTTTCCACCCCCGTTTCCTGCCCCGAATTCCCCTTCTGACCCCCGACCCCGCCCCCGTTCCCCCGTCCCCGATTTATTTTGGGCTACCTTATTTGGGCTCAAAGAAACTATCTTTTGGGTAACAAATAGATATTTATAACATAATTTTACATGTTACAAACAACTTAAAAACATGTTTTTTGTTGTATTTTTGTACGTAAAAATCATTTTATTGTTTATTATATTTATATAATTAATATATGTCAATTTAGATAATTTATTAACAGGGCCCCCACGGGGGTTTCAGGATGGGACTACCAACCCCCGCCCCCACCCCCGAAATTAAAACGGGGAGACTGTAGGCCCACGTGGCAGACCAGTTATACCGAAGGTTCGGGATAGACTCAGATAGACTGTAGACTCGATAGGGCGGTCCAGTCAGGCCGATGGCCCAATATGCATGTTGATTGAATTGATTATTACTGTTGTAGTATGGTCAATGTGGTATTGGTATTTTGGGGGTAGCTCACTAAGCCCTTGGGCTTACAGTTTTCAGTTATTGTTTCAGGTACTTCAAGAGATCGTGGAAAGGCGAAGGCGTAACCGTATCGCTCCCCATCCTTATGTTATGAATTTTAGGACACTCTGGTGGAAAATGATTTGAAAACATTTTGTAAACAATGCTATGTGGTTTTTATTTATGATTGAAAAAGTTTGGTGTAAAATTTATGGTTGTTACGAGTTGGTATCAGAGCCTTGGTTTGAGTGAATTGGAAGAATACTCGTGTTAATCCAGTCTCAAATCCAGAAGATTTTCGGAAATATGTTTTAAAATGTTTTTCAAAATAAAGGATAGAGGATGCAGAGGGTACGATCAGCCGGAACCATTAAGTAAACCCCAAAATACCATGCAGTTATTTGATATTCTGATATGTTAGAACAACATGCTAGTGCTAGGCTAGGGATCTTCAGGAATCACATGATAGATCTGCCTGATTGCATGATGCCTATTAGCCTAGGGTTTCTTGTATGTGGAATTGACATCATAACTATAGATGTTTAGTGTATGCATCGCGGCTGTGCATAATAAAGACCTTATAGCCTAAGAATGTTGCTTCGGCCTTCGGGTTGGATCGGATATTCGAAAGTCTATTGGGTCCAACGTTATGTGCAGCTAGCATGCATTAGCGCTGCAGGGGATGATGGAAGTTTCATGGATGTGTGAGTCGTGGTAAGTGGTGAGTCTAGATGCGAGGTATTTGGTATTCCCCTAGAATGAGGATTTGGATTTAAAAGTTGTTTAAACTAATTTAATGTGACTCTAATTCACACACACACACACACACACACACACACACACATATATATATATATATATGTGTGTGTGTGTGTGTGTATGTGAGAGAGAGAGAGGGAGAGAAACTATGACAAGTACTAAATCGATTCCGTAAACAACTTACAGTTCTCTAAATCGTTTGATTTTTTATCTGCCTCCTTTTCTCAATAAAAGCGCAATCTTTATACATAGCTTCAAACATATGTTATGAGTAATCTAACAATCAAACAAAAGAAACCCTAAAATCGAGGGAAAAAGGGTGTAAGAAGATTACCAGAAGGATTTAAACATGATTACAACGAATACATGCTTATCGAGTGAGAATCTATGAGCGCAAAGATGAACCTTGAAGTTTTGGAAAAAATTTTATTTTTGAATTATTTAGAAAATACCATACTATGAAGCAATACGATTTCCATCTTACTGTCATTGCTGACTTATAATTAGAGATGGAAATCAAAAATCCATCTACGTTTCAACATAGATACAAATGAAAAGCTTTGATTTCAAGTCTCGATTAGAACAGAATCGTCATAAGCCTCAAACATCAAACACATGTGGACAAAGGAGACTGAAACAGATGGCTAACATGCGAGAAAAATGGTTGGCGTCAGCTGCAAACCAGCCGATAGAAGGAAAATCGGAAACCACCCATTACAATACATGACATTGTTCATAAACTCTATTACATGCCTTAGCAATTCAGCTACATCAGAGCCATGAAATTTATAAATGTCCAAGAGCCAAGATTACTTTCTTTTATTAGATGGATATGTTTGCTTATTGCATTAACTTAAGGCGGACTTTTATCATATTAAACACTAGTTTATAACCCGTAAGAACCACGATTATAAAATTAATTAAACTTTCATAGGAAAAACTCAAAATTATTAATCAATTATAATAATAAATTAAAAATTAAGAGATATTTTTTTAGTTATATAAAAGTATCATCGTTGATTTAAATAAATACATAAAATTATATCGGTTTATAATATAGATTAATTTAATTTTATTTTTTACTCTAATGTTATTAATTTAATGTAATTAAAGTGTGAAAAATCAATTATTAATTTAATGTAATTAAAGTGAGAAATTTAAAATTTAAAATTTAAAATTTAGAATGGAGAATTAATAGGTTTAAATGTAGCATGATAGATAATATATAATATTAATGAGAATGTCTAATATTGTGACACTTGTTCGATCATTTATTAGAATAGAGATTGGTAATATATATATATATATATATATATATATATATATATATATATATATATATATATATATATATATATATATATATATATATATATAGAGAGAGAGAGAGAGAGAGAGAGAGAGTTAGGTTCAAATGTTTTTAGCAACTATTGTGTGCCTAAATGCACCAATGAGAATTCAAGAAATAATAAAGAATTAATTAAATCATTAAAGGGTATTTTAGACTTTTGGTACTTATAATTAAGGAAATGATTTAATTGAATTCATTCAATTAAGGAAATAAAGTTAATATATTTGACCTAGTTATGTTTGGGGCTGAACACATTCATCATCGGCTCACCATCGCCGATTATGCTTCTTCTTCTACAATTGATGTATCCTCTTGTCTCGCACCCTGCTTCTTCCATGTACCTATTTGCACCACCGCCTGCAAGGACCTTCAACAAGATTCGGGCTTTATTCGATCTTATTTTACAGTCGTTATCTTTATCTCTCTCGTTCCAAATCCATGGACCGATCCTAGAATACAATGATTTATACTCACCAGTCATAGGTATGTAATTATATTTCTCAAATATTATCAGTTCAATCAAAACCGAAGCCACATAACCATTTATGCTTTTTTTTTGTTCGATCGTATGGAAACCGAACACAGGAGGTATACCCTCCTGTGTAACTCATTTGATGTTGCTGGTTCTGAATTGGTATTTTTTTCATTCATGATTTATAGAAAATTTGGTGATTTAGGGAGCGCCCTTAAAGTGTTTGATGAAATGCCAAAGAGAAATATGACAGTCTCAGATTGTATTCATGGTTAGTAATGGAACACCGGTTAATGAGGAGATGCTGGTAAGTTTACATGAACTTTATTGATCTTTGATTAAGTTTTTTGAGTTGGGTTTTTGTAATTTTTTATTTTTTTTCAGAAATTCAGAGACACCATTCTTTGATGGCAAAGAACTTGTAGCTTGAAGTATAGATGATTCAATCTATGTTTATGATGTTGAAGCAAATATCTATCCTGATCATAGATTTGATGTTGAAGCAAACTGACTTTTCCTTATGTTTATGATGTTGAAACAAACAAACATATGGGCTGATCATAGCTTTGACCTTGTTTACCTTTTTATAATATTTCCATTCTGAAAGAATAGTTTATTATATAAGAATATTATTGCTTTATTCTGATAGAATTTGTAGTTAATTAATTATATGTTTAATGTGCAGTTGTTAGAAGTGTATCACTACAAAGTATTTGGCAATGAATTTGTGATCGAAATGGCTTGGAAGAATGGCTTGAAGACCTGATGGGAAAGACTCCTTGTATAAAATCATTCTCATGCAATCCAATTCTGACAGAATGTCAATGTCACAAAATATCAATCTCATAGAATGCTAGCATATTTTGAATTGGCTTAGAGGTCAAACATACACAAGACATCTAGAATGTTGTTATTTTTTAAGAAGTATACTTGTTATTCTTTCAAAATGTTTGTTATAATTCAATAAATCACAATCGTACAATGTAATTATTTGGTATATTATTAGTTCAAGAATCGATTTCGTGTATTTTTTCAGAATATATTTAGTAGTTTATGGTTGACATTCTGTCATTCTGACAGAATAAAATCGAAAAATATGTTTACTACTTTATGGTTAAAATTCTATCATTCTGACAGAATAAAAATCGGATTTTTAATTTTAAATTAATTTAAAATATTTAGATTTTTAAAAATAAAGGAATTAATTATCCCTAAAAATCCAAAAATTTCCTTTTTTAATATAAGTTAATTGACTAGAATGCCCTTATGTTCAAATTTGTGTGATTATATGGTACATGTTATCCTATTCTACTATCATAGACCCTCAGATCATGACCTTTGATTATATTTCATCCAATGGTCCAGATCTGTGCATTCTAGCACACAATAGTTAGTAAAAACAAAATAACCTAACCCTATATATATATATATATATATATATATATATATATATATATATATATATATATATATATATATATATATATATATAATCAGTGAATTTATTTTTATTTTTATTTTTTGCCTCTCAATTTGATCGTTGAAGTGTCTTTATCAAGTCTTGTAAATTTTAGTAGCATAGAATATGTGATTCATAGTTGTGAAATATATTTGAAATAAGGAAATTAATAAAATAATTCCTGTCAATCTTTCATTAGACGTTAACCAAAAGACACACCCCAATGTCGAGACATATTAAACTATTCAAACATCTGCATCATCATCCAAATGAGGCGACAACGAACAAGATTTATCATTTTACCAAAAATGACGAGGTGATACACGATATATAAGATCACATTTTATGACGTGGGCCCAAATATTAGTCGAAAAGTTGACCATTTGTTTGATGAAAATAAAAAATGGTTTATGTATACGTAAATACAAATGACTAACGTTCATTTTCTAGTATCTTATTTAACAGAATGAAGACAAAAAACTGAATAATTTGTTAAGTTTCCTTTTTTCACATTTTAAATTTGTTATTATTTACATATGAAGCAAATTAATAACTTTTATATTATAAAATATATGTAATGGAATCACACAATTTCTTTGCAATACCATGATGACGTGATCCTAATATTGGATGTGAATCAAAGATCCCACTAATATGAATACGTCTCAAAAATTTGTTGTCAATGGTTCATGCATTATTCAATATAACTTGATGTAGATTAATTAAAACATCCATAATAATAACTATAATTCTTGTAAGTTTAATCCACAACAATTAGGAAGAAACACTATAATAATAATAATATAAAAAAAAACAAAGTCTTTTTGACCATGTATAACTAAAGGCACATGATCACAAAAGAGACTAGCCTCTTTTTTATGATATCATGTCTAATTCAAAATAAACTGAAAAAGTTGTGATGCTTTATGAGGTTTGAGGTTTTCTAAGATCTGCAATATTCGATTTTGAGTTGAATGGACTTTATAAGACTTATATATATATATATATATATATATATATATATATATATATATATATATATATATATATATATATATATATATATATATATATATCAAGTTGAATAGACAGTTTTGTTAGTATTAACTTTAGACTTTTGAGCTGAAACAACGAATTTGCTAGGGTTTAGAATACTAAAGACTTGACTGTACAATAAAGACTAATATGTGAGATCGAATTAGGATAACATCATAATCTTGATTCGGTCTTATTGTGATTGAGATCTATTAGTCTACACTTATTTGTATTACCTTTGCATGTTGATTCTTTATTCTTTGAGGGGTTTATATGTAGTTATCTCCACTATATAATGAGAATAACCCCCATGCCTTTGAGGGGTTTATATGTAATTATCTCCGCCATGTTTATTCTTAATCGATTACCAACCAAGGTTCTTTACATGAAGTCGCCATTTGAGTTGTTGTTTCATCGGGTGCCCTCATATGACATTTTCTATCCTTTTGGATGTCGCATGTATCCTTATTTGCGTGATTATGCAGCTCACAAACCCTCTCCTCGGAGTATACCATGCGTCTTCATTGGTTATCATCCGTAATATAAAGGCTATTAATGTCTTGACCCGCTTTCCTCACACATCTTTATTACTCGGCATGCCCGATTTGATGGAACTTATTTTCCCTTTGGTGGGTCTTCTGGCGCGGCTCCCATGGCCTCTTTACCTTTACATGAGTTCTTTGGAGATGTTCCAAGTGTCTAGGTGCCATCATCCCCGCCTATGGCTCCTCCAAGGTTAACTGCCCCGTCTCCGCCCACAGCTCCACGTGCAGTTTGCTCGGAGCCGTTTCTGTCGCACCTAAGGTCACTGAGCCTCCACTAGCAGCCGCTGATCCCGCCTCTGATGCTGGTGCCGAACCGGACCTCACCGGGTCAAGCTATTCTTCTTCTGACAGCTCTTTTAGGCCTGACTTGGACACTGATCCCATTGATGAGCCCGCTTCAGCCCCTCCAAAGCCCGAGTTGCCCCTGCCGGCCCCCTCTTCCCTGCATCTTATGACCACCCGTGCTAAGGCGGGAATTTTTAAGCCACATTATCGAGTTGATCTTGCCCATCTTCGGTACTGTGGACTGTTATCGACTGTGCTCTCTTTTCCAGATCCGGTTTCTCATGTCACTGCCTTGCGTGAACCTAAATGATGTGATGTTATGCGCTCCGAAATGCATGCATTGCATCACAACAATACTTGGACGTTGGTTCCTCGTCTGCCTCACTATAATATTGTTGGTTGCAGGTGGCTTTTTCGTACTAAGTACCAGACGGATGTAGGGATGTCAAAAACCCCCATGGGACCCCGCTCCCACGGGAACTCGATACCGTACGAGACTAAATTTAAAAAAAAAAACGGGAGGGGGAGCAGGGGAGGGGGCAAAATTAAACCCCGTTTATTTTCGGGACCGGGAATCGGGAGTCGATATTTCCGTCCCGTACTCCTGCAGGGGCCCCGATTGTACATTTATGTAAAATATATATATTTAATATAAAATACATATACAAAATCGATTTTCTAGTTTTAGGTTTAGTATAGGCTTCACTTTCCCGTTTCCAATTAATGGATATTGAAGATGTAGCGAATTAATCATGTATTTTTGGCCATGTAAATATTTTATATTTGTAATGTTGGATTTGTCTTGTTTTATATTTGTAAGATTGTTGGAATTGTCGCTTTGTAATGTTGGATTCGTGATGTTGGATTTTTAATTTTTAGTTTCTAAAAGATTAGGTTTTAAGTTTTTAAAGTTATTAAAAATAGTTTTTTTAGCCTAAAACAAAATGGTTTTTTAGCAAAAAAAATCGAATTTTAAGCCTATAAACCGGGGGAACTGGGGGCGGGACCGGGGGCGATGGAGGTAACCGGGAGCGGGGGCCACAACTGATTTCGGGGGCGGGAGCGGGGGCAACTATTTCCGCTCCCTTTTGGTCCCGTTGACATCCCTAGGCGGATGGTTCTATTGAGCAGCACAAGGCTCGTCTTGTTGCCCAAGATTTTAGTAAGGTGTCGGGCCTTGATTTTTCGCATACTTTCAGTCCTGTTGTCAAAGCTGCCACGATCCGTGTTGTTCTTTCTCTCGACATTGTAAATGGGTGGTAGCTGCGTCAACTTGATGTTAATAATGCCTTTTTACATGGCAAGTTGGGTAATACAATTTATGTTAGGTTTTATACATAGCAAACAATCATATGTGTGCATGCAACCCTAATTTGAGGATCTATGTCTTCACTATTAGACATACAAGCATTGAAAACAAAAACTAGAAACCCTAGGAGGCACATATAATTTTTGAAATTAACATATAATTAGGGTTATGATACATTCCTTTATTGTTATATTGTAATAACGATCAAATCCTTGAAGATCTTGAACTTTGGTAGCAAGCGCCACAAGTTTCGTGCCTCTAATGGCTCACAAACAAACCTAGCAACCAATGATTACTATGGAGAGAGAGAGAGAGAGAGAGAGAGAAGGGAAGTGAAAATTTGAGTATAATCCTTTCTTGGAGTGCATGGGACAAAATCCAACCCTATAGGGGTTTATATAGGTGATAAGGCAAGTGTATCTTAGATAACCCTAATCCCTTAACTTCCTCCGTAAGGCTTCCAAGGCACCCTTAGAGCCCAAGGAAACCCTAGGACACTTTAGATTTCGTTCCCCCACCTTTAACGGAGCTTCTAGAATGCTCAATGCTCAACTTTTGAACATTTTCACCTTAGTCCCTGCATTTTCAATTAATTCCTTTAATCCTAAAATTAATTTCTGATTAAATATTAATTAAAAAATATGATTTCTAATTAATATATTATATCCATAATATGTTAATAAATAATTTATCTTGATTTCAAATTAATTTATTAACCAAGTAATAAATTAAGAAATCATTCTTCTCTCTCCAACAGTTATTCTATTCAATTTTCAGGTTTGAAGGTAACCCAAAAGGATATTGTTACGTACTATCAATTCAAGTACATACCAATTATAGTTATAACCTTAGACACCTAATCCAACGGTTTATATGCAGTAAGTCCCATGGTTTGTTGATACTCGGTTTCCTAATCATGTTTGCAAGCTCAACAAAGCTATTTATGGGTTGAAGCAAGCCCCGCTTGCGTGGTTTCATCGGTTGAGCTCTTTTCTGGTTACTCATGGATTCTCTTGTAGTCTGGCTGACTGTAACGTCATGTTCCTGGTACACATTTAATCTATTTAAGTATTTATTTTGTAAGAGCTACTCGACGAGTTGGTAGCCTAACTCGCCGAGTTGATGTCAGATTGGATGCGAGCCTTAAGTGGTCTACTAGACGAGTCGTTAGCCTTGACTCGATGAGTAGGTCCGTTAGGAGGAAAACCTAATCTTTAGGGTTTTCACTCTATTTATGCATCATAACAGGTCTCTACCCTAGTGTCCATCACCTTCACCACCCAATCTCGAAACCCTAATCCACCTTGAGTGATCTTGAGCTATTTCTTTCCATTTTAAGTGTTATTTGTGCCTTTTGAAGCTTGTGCAAGAAGAAGAAAGAAGCCTCAAGGGGAAATGAGTAGATCCAGGAACTACACTCCATTAGCTACTTTTTTTGGTAATCAAGTATTTAACTTAATCCTTTTCCTCTTAGATCTATTTGTTTCTGTTTTATGAAGGTTTTGGTCCAAGAACCTTGATCCTTGGGATTGGAACGTCCCAAGTGACTTATATCTCTGATATGGAGTCTAGGAAGGGTTCCATGGAATAAAGGTGCAAACTTTATGACTATGGAAGCCGCATGCAAGCTTATATGCAAGAACATGGCCTTTTTAGCTCTAAAAGACGATACATGGAAGGAAAGCTCGGAACTTTACGTGACCAACATATGATATCAGCCTAGATCTAGTATATTATGCCTTGGTTTAGGAAGTTATGGCCTATGGATCAAGATTTATTCCTTAAAGTAGTTAGGGTTTGGGTTAAAGCCATTAAGAAGGACTAAGGATGGGTAAAGTTAGAAACTTTACCCTTAAGAGTGGATTTCCAGTATGTAGAAGAGGTTTGAAACATAGATCTGAAAGGTAAGAGATTAATCCTTTAGGATGGCTCATTCAGACAAGGGAACTCGGCGAGTACAGAGAAGGACTCAACGAGTTAAAGTGGGTTGTTCCGATTATCATGACATAAAAACTTGATAAGTCTTTAAGGGACTCGACGAGTTGACTCAGTCAACCATGAGTTAAGGATTATAGGGACTCACCGAGTTGAGAGATAACTTGACGAGTTGGGTTGACTAGGAGTTGAACTTGACTTTGACTTTGACCAGGACATTGACGTTGACCAGGGGTAAAATGGCTATTTTACCCTAAGGAGGATTATCAGATTTTTGACTCAATATTATTGTGATTTGATAGCCGGGGAGACGTGGGAACAGCTATCAGATATTCCTTACCGCGAGATTTCACAGACAATTTTGCGAGGTGAGTTTTCCTCCAGTAGGAATGAGTTGAAGACACCAATGTCGGCCCCTTTATGTATTTAGAGTATGCTGGGCTTCGGTCCGATGTCGGGATTAGCCCGATGCAAATTATATGTTCCAGACTTCGGTCTGATGCCACGACGGTCCCGAGAAGGGTATATGTATTCTTGATGTCTTTGTGATTCATGCATTTTATGTGTTATGTATTCTGGGGCAAGCCCGATGTCGGGGTAAGCCCTATGCAGAATTACCTTATATGTTATGTATCAGACTTCGGTCTGATGTCGGGGTAAGCCCGAGGGAGTTTGTTATGTTTATATGTTATATGCTTATGTGTCATGTGCTTGTTGCTATGATATGTATTCCGGAATTCGGTCCGATGTTGGGCGGGGCCCGATGGCGGACTAACTCGATGTCAGGCGGGCCCCGATGCAGTGGGCAAGGCCTTGTATATGTTATTATGTGTTATTTTATGGTATCTGGTAGTTTAGGGAGCTCACTAAGCTTTGTGCTTACAATTTCGGTTTTGGTTTCAGGTACTTCCACTAGCAAGGGGAAGGGCTCGAGATGATCGCATAGCACACACCGCAGTTTCAGCCTGGGATTGTTTTAGACTCTGATATTTTCTCATTTGATTTTAAGATAGTATTTGTGTTGGGTTATGAGCATTCTAACACTCCTAAGTGTACATGCAACCCTAAATACCTTGGATCTATGTTTTCTCTATTATACATGCAAATATGAACATCCAAGGTATTATCCTAATCTAGCATACAAAACTATCAATATAACAAGATAGAATACATACCTCTTTGATAGTGCTTGTCTTCATGAAGCTTGAGTGCCTAGTGCCCCAAGTGTGACACCTCAAATGGTTCACACAACACCATAAGCACTTGGAATAACTTAGAGAGAATTCTACACTTCATGAAATCGGCTAGCCCTTTCCTTCTCTCACTAGTGGCCGATTTTGTCAAGAATAATATCTTTATATAGTGTTACAATTAGGGTAAACCCTAATTGTCATGACTTTCCATTTCCTTGGATCCATGGGTTTAAATACACCATGGAGCATCCATGGAGCATCATATGGGTTTTGGCCCAACTAGATAATCCATGGAGCATTAGCCCACTATATAAGTATGGATGATTTACACAATCAACCCATATATTTAATTAGTCTTCTTTTGATCACTTAATTAATCCTAGATTAATTCTTGATCAATACTAATTAAATAATCTTATTATTCTTATTATTAATATACTAGAACTTATAATATATTAATAACCATAAGTGTCTTATTTCTCTCATTATAGTCTATCCAAGTGCATGATGCCATGCAACCCAAATGGACCATGCCGGGTCGGGTCAAGTCTTACCAATTATAGTTATGGACTTAGACATTAATCCAACAGTCTCCCACTTGGATAAGTCTAAAACTATTATTGCGTATGACTTCAGGAACCAACTGGCAATCGTAGCTCTCAAAAGCTTCTGTCGAACTTGACCTTGTAGATGAACTCTGACCTTTGTCAATGACTTGTCCATTAGATAAGGGATCATATATTCCTCCATTCTAGATATCATATGGACTGAGACATGGATTATAATCATTCTCTCTGTCCATTTGTTGTTTCCCGATTTCCGATTTATGACGACTGACTAATTGAACAAATCAAATCAGTCCTGGCCCGGCCG